AGGAAATGGTGAGAGTCTGTCCAGCATTCCTGGAAATCTCAATGCAGTTTCCATCAGGGGGAAAATGACAATTTTTATATCATGTGTGACAGCATAGTAATTCAGCTTGAGAATTCAGTGTCTAACACTTTATACCCCAGCAACCAAACCCGGCTTTTCATAATTGTTCGGACAGATCTTCATCGTGGCTTTCCAAGGAATGATGATGTGACTCTAATATAGGGCACAACCCTTTCTCTGAGCCACACCATGATTTTGTGCCAATTCCTAACCACAGACACTCCAGCTCAGCACTGGTACGTGACACCACCATTTTTTTGTATATGTGCCAACGTGGATAACACTTCAAATGCAAAAACCCTTTTAGAGGAGAGTAACGAAACTAACGCCTCCAACGTGTTCCTTCTGAAGCTGAAAGACAGGCCAAGAAACCAAGATTTGTATGCAAAAAGCTTTGCTTTCCTGTTTTATACCTGCTGACTATAGATACACAAACAAATTTGTTCCTCTTTTTCTTCTTCGTGGTCATGAAGGGAGCTGGGGATGCTGTCAGGCAACACTGAGGACAAGACAGAGAACTGGAGAGTTTGGTAAGAGGCATGAAGTCTGCTGGTGTTGTTTGGTGTGATGTTGGGAAGGGTTCTTTAAACTGGAAGACAGACACTGGACCGGAGAAAATGCACATAGTGGTTCACTGGAAAGTTAATTTGCACTTAAGCTCCAATTTTATTTGAACTGTTTTCTGGATTTTGAATGAAGCAATACGGAAGTGACCAGCAAAATACAAAATAATAATTTTAAATTTAAAAAAATAAATAATAAATTAATTATATTTAAAAGCTGACTGTGGAAATGCCAAAATGAAGCAAATGAAGTCTTTGGAAAAACGTCTACCAGTTCTGAGAGGCCATTGCATCGACTGCTTCAGAGAATACAGTGAGAGAGCAACCAGCTCTTACTGCTGCCACGTGAAGGACAGCATAGCAAGCCCTGAAAGGGATCAGAGGAGACAAACGTCCTGCTCTGGCTTGCAGCACAGCACGGAATACTTTCGGGGCAAAAAAGAAGGATAACTCTGGCACGGAAGATGGTGCACGTGAGGTTCGAGAAGTCAAAATGCGCATGACATGCAGAGCTTTGCGTCACAAATGTAAATAATTATGACTCCGTCTCCTTGCACTTAGTTCTGCTTTCATTGACCTCGATTTTTAGGTAGACCCCCCCACCCCTCTCCCAGGCCTGCTCCTCTTTGGAAATATCTTTCAACCAGACTTCTGGATGTTTTTAGCAACCTGAGGCAGATGGAGCTGGGATTGGAGGCGTGAGGCCCGGAGACTCTCTTGGCCCGTTCCTGATACACCGAGACCCGTGCGTATGAGAGCATTTGTGTACCCAGTTCCCACCAAAAACCTTAAGGAACTATGAAGTACCTTTGAAGATCTGCCTACGTCTCTATCCATCAAGGCTTTTAAAGGGGAAGAAACGGTACCCGATGGATGCCAACCTTAGATGACACAACAGCATTTCTGTTTATGCGCTTTGGTACTATTAGAATCGAGATCTCTTGTGTGACCTAACCTGGCAACAAAGCCAGCAACAACTAGTCATCCAAAAATGGCAGCAAGCTCCTCCAGATTCCTGTCACCTCAACAGCTGGACACCTTTAATCGTAGGGAAGCAGAGAAAGGACTAAGAAACGAGTTATTTTTACCCAAATCTTGGTGGCTGAGGGTCAGCTTGACAAAGGAATGAAGAGATTTCAAACCTGGGTTTGCTGTTATACTTGTAGATGGAAAAGAAATTGCGTATGATTGCTAGGTCAAGGTTGGTTCAGCCAACAGCCTGTTTCTGCATCAGGTGTATCCAGGCCAGCCTGATCCAGCTGCAGGGGAGATGATAAATGTGTAAACCAAGTATGTAGCTGAAGAGTCTAAAAAGAGCGAGAACAGGTGCAGATCTTTGAAGCTGTTAAGAGGAGATGTTGGTTCCAGTGGTACCAAGTTGGTCTGTGGTGGCAGAACATGATCAGGAAACCATTAAAGCGGGATAGATGGTTACAAAAGCATGACGCATCTGGGAGGCCTTGGTAGGGGACAGAGACAAGAACTGGGCAGGGGCCTGGGGGCACTGGGGGGTGGCATGAAGTCGTGGAGACACCACTCCGGGGAAGGTTTGCCAGCTGTGGTGCTCACAGGATGTCATCTGGACCACGGGCAAAGATCTGCCAGGTTGGGATGTAATGGCCAAGCTGCCTGGGAACAAGGACTGGCACAGAATTGCAGATGTCCGGTTTCAGCGCAGAAGCTGCCGGGGTTACGTAGGCAGATGGAGAAAGGGGTGGGTTTGTCCCTGAACAAGTCTTGTAACAGAGTAGCTCGAAAAGGAGAAAAAGAGAAAATAAGATCCCAGTACAGCTTGCGTGTTTAAGTTCAAAGAGCTGCACTCAGAGGCTGCTGGGGCAGAACATGCATTCCTGGGCGGGATGGTGCCGAGACGTAGCTGCTAACGGAAAGTGAGGCCTGTTTGTTTCTCTGGTAATTAAAGTAGTTACCGGTGCTAGAAACAAGCCCATCAAATAATTAGAGTGTAAATAAGGGTTGTTTTTTCAACAATATCACTTTTTATTTCTTAGAAAACTTGAATTATTTATTCATTTGAATTGTTGACTGTGGGTGTGATACCATACGTTAAGTAGCATGGAAACGCAGGGGCGCCCCGAAGTGAGGCAGCGTGAAGCAGCAGCATATAGAGGCCAGAAGCCACCTGACACAAGTGGGGCACGGACACAGCTAGGATGAGCCATGCCAGCTGTGTCTTGGATAGAACAGGGCAAAGAAAGGGTTGATGAACAGGGGTAAATCATAATGATGGAAAACTGGACAGGCTGCAGCTTCACAAATGGACGTGTCCCCCCCTACTCCTCCCCAGCTTCTGTTTTGAGTTGCAGTTGCCAAAAAGTGGCCCTAGTGGTTCCTGCTGTGCTGACCTTTGTTGCAGCGTCCGAGCCTGCGTGGTGCTGAGTGTCTGGTTAACTGGTTCCCTTTCCCCAGGAAGAGCAACACCCTTAGGAACGCGGCTCCTAAATGTCCGTGTTTCCTCAGAAGAGTAGTGCCTCTCAGCTACTTGGGCAGATTTTTGTCTCTTTGCTAAAGAAAGTGTAACGATGGTCAAAAAAGCAAAGAGGAGAACAGAACTGTTGCTGCTTTATCTGATCAGCAAAAATACCTGCTTGGCCCAAACACATGCATTTGCCTTAGAGGGTGTAAGCTGCAGGCTTGCTGAAAGAAGTCAGGCAAATGTACATAGTGAGATCATGGCAAATACTGAACTGATTATGTTGGGAAAGACGGGGGTCAGGGTTTTTAATAAATTATTACAGGTTTGGGAGAGAAGCAGGTATTTCCACACAGTGCATTTTGTCAGCACCGCACGTGCTTTGTCTGCCTCGAATTAATTGTCTAGTTCTAGGGTGGTATATGTACGCTGCACTGTCAGGTTTGATGGGATTTATAATGCAGTCTCTTACTTGTAAATGTTTTCCTCTCCTGTATTATAGCCTGTGTGACAGAGAAGCGGTGCCACACTTTCCAAGAGCAGGTACCTGAGTGCGTATCAGCCATTGTCCGAGGCACAAAGCAACGCACTGAATGAAAGAGAACAACAGCTTATTTTTTCCTAATCTCTTTCAGTGATACTTAGATGTTATTATCTACCTGAGGGTTATTTCAGACAAATGTGGATGCTGGATCTGATTGGCTTGCTGTAACATAATTGACCGAAACCAACTGCTTTCAAGTTTCTCTCCTCAGGTCTTTTCAGATTTTTCTTTTTCTGCTAAATAGCCAGGAGGTATTCTTACATGGTCTTTTGCTCAGATGTAGCGGAGCATTTACAGCTTGCTTTGGAACAGGTCACCTCTCACAGGTAGCGAGCCACGTAGATCTGAGCGAGTCTCAGGAGCGGGAGCCACCATGCAGGTCAGTTTCAGGCACCTCGAGCTCAGCCAGAAATCCTTTCCTTCGTACAGAGGAAGGTCGCCTTAACCCTGGTTGTGCCAGTTATTTAGTAGATGTGTTTCTCAACTGCAGGAATTGGACACAGTGTTCTCATTCCAGTTGTTTCCAGGAGTAATGGAGATGCCTTTCCCTTCCCGTTGCGCAGCTGGTAAGCCCAGAGGCTGTGTGTGAAGCCGGGAGTCTTACCCCCCCTGCCCCCCCCCCTCCCACCGGGTTCTTTTTGCTCATAAAGACAGCCACGTAGATCTGAGCGAGTCTCAGGAGCGGGAGCCACCATGCAGGTCAGTTTCAGGCACCTCGAGCTCAGCCAGAAATCCTTTCCTTCGTACAGAGGAAGGTCGCCTTAACCCTGGTTGTGCCAGTTATTTAGTAGATGTGTTTCTCAACTGCAGGAATTGGACACAGTGTTCTCATTCCAGTTGTTTCCAGGATTAATGGAGATGCCTTTCCCTTCCCGTTGCGCAGCTGGTAAGCCCAGAGGCTGTGTGTGAAGCCGGGAGTCTTACCCCCCCTGCCCCCCCCCCTCACGCCGGTACCTGTTTGCTCTGAAGATCTGAGAGGGAGGCTACAGGCGAGATATTCCCCCACCTTCAGCCACCACTGGTCCCAGCCTAGAAGCAAAGAAGGTGACAGCTCTGAAACACCAGCTTGGTCCTGAATGTGGATCAGTTCTCTCTGTAGCTGTAGGTAGAGCTGAGCAGTACGGGAGTAAAG